AATACTAGTGTACTATATAGAAATAATCCAACACTTCTAGTAAAGTAATACTAGTGTACAATATAGAAATAATCTGACACTTCTAGTAAAGTAATACTAGTGTACTTTATAGAAATAATCCGACACTTCTAGTAAAGTAATAATAGTGTACTATATAGAAATAATCCGACACTTCTAGTAAAGTAATACTAGTGTACTATACAGAAATAATTAGAAAAACTGAATTTAACACTATATATTTACAGTAATACTAGTGTACTATACAGAAATAATTCTAAAACTAAATTCAACACTACATATTTACAGTAATACTAGTGTACTATATAGAAATAATTTAAAAACTAAATTCAACTTAAAAGTTTGGAGTTTTTCTTTTAAAAATCAACCATAAGTCGACTGGTTGATAAATCCTTTATCTACGTATATACCTCAGTAAATAATAATTACTGCTTCAACAATGCTACAAAATATCTAGCAAACTAACCTCAAATTTTGTGATGGAAATTTACCACAAATACATCAAGAATCTACTAGATATAAAACAAGAGGCCCATGGGCCTTAACGGTCACCTGAGTCCTACAGTATTTATTTTTGTTGTTGAAATATGTACCAATTTGAGTAGAAAATTGTTAAGTATAACGTTAACTTAAGTTTGTCAGGACCATGAGCTGATCATTCCTAGACCGATTTTCAGTTAGATCGGCCTATTAGAACTACCTCAAATATCATCAAAATTCGTCCATCCCGAAGATATCGCTCATACGGATAATCCTTCATGTATCCAAGGCCCCCGAGGATTTGTAAGCACTCGTTCACACAGACCCAGCATCCCTCAGAGCTGAAAATCTACAACACAAAACATCTTTTAGAGAATACACATCCAGTAATTCTACAGCTTTGTGAAGTCAAGTTACTATTATGAGCAGAATGCATGCTTACCTTGACCATGGCAGCCTCCAGAGAGCAGTCAGGTTGTTGATATTGGTCAATGATGCCGGCCGTCCAGTAGGCCATACTTTCCATGGCATACGTTGTTACAGCCATCTTGGCAAATTTTTCCTGAAGGGATTCATAGAAACATCTTAATAGGAGGTCTCAGTCCACAGAAATATCCTGAAGGGATTCATAGAAACATCTTAATAGGAGGTCTCATTCCACAGAAATATCCTGAAGGGATTCATAGAAACATCTTAATAGGTCTCATTCCACAGAAATATATCAGCTAAGAATTTACACAATTTCATATTCAATACTGCTCGTCTTCAAAAGCATGAAAGAAATTTCTATCTACATGTCAATATTACTGGGTACCTATTTTGCCATCGACTGTATGGTTGTTTAATTTCTCGGGGCTAATATTTTGCCGTCTACTATATGGTTGTTTAATTTCTCGGGGCTAATAATTTGCCATCTACTATATGGTTGTTTAATTTCTCGGGTCTAATATTTTGCCGTCTACTATATGGTTGTTTAATTTCTCGGGGCTAATAACTTGCCGTCTACTGTATGGTTGTTTAATTTCTCGGGGCTAATATTTTGCGGTTGTTGTGATCAGAGATTGGATTTATTCTACGAGTGTTTTGTGAAAACGGATGATTTTTTTTTTCTTTTTCTGTCTCTTAATTTATATTCACAGAGATTGTAATTCATGTAATTAATATTTGCTGGGTATTTAATTTTGCATGATCTTTGGTGACTGCGAGTATAGCGAAATTAAATCCCCCGCTAATATTACCAACTTTACAGTAAGTGAAAGCATATGCTACACATCATTCACTGCACAAAGACTTTGTTTCATAAAATTCTATTAAAGTTCTACAAACTTTAAAGTCTTCAAATATATCAACATTTCTGGCTCCAATGCACAAAAACAGAAATCAACTATTAAACACATAAACAAGAGATCCCGGAGGGATATTGGCACCCACCATTGTACCATCTAGTTCTATGTCAGTTTGATCTTTTCTCCTCTTTACTCTTATCTGTTTGATCAGTTTGCCTGTCTGTCATCTTAATCAGTCTTTTGATCAACCTCTAAAGTTAACATGCACAACTCAGGACCAAAGGGAACCTACATATCAAATCTGAGAAATATTCCTCCAGTTAGTTCTGAGAAATAGCGATAACAAACTTAAACTGTAACAAGATGGCTGCCTGTCCACATCTTGGTTTTCAGATCAGTCCAAAAATTTAATATGCATAACTATATATCTAGAGAACCAAGAGGAACCCTTATGTGAAATTTGAGAAAGATTCTTCCAACACTTTTTGAGCTTACACACCTTTACTCCCAAGTTCAATAGGGCCACCAGCCGGCCTTCTTTGATTTTTCCAATCATCCCCAAAATTTGAAATGGGTAACTAGGGACCATGAGGAACCTGTCGGCCATCTTGGTTTTGTGATCAGTCCCAAAAAACGATATGCATAACTAGGGATCATGGGGAACCTTCATGTTTAATTTGAGAAAGATCCCTGCAGTACTTTCTGATAAATAGCGCTAACAAGAATTGTTTAAGGACGAATGGAATGAGGGACGGACGGACAGACCATAGACCACGGATGTAGGGTGATTTGAATAGCCCATAATCTCATGATGGTGGGCTACAAATTGGCATCAGTTCCTCACACATATTACTGCTTTCTAGTTGTAACAAAAAAAAATAAGAAGATTCACCTTTATAAGTTTGAATTCTGACAGGTGCTTCCCAAATTGCTTTCTGCTAATTGCATGTTCTGCTGTCATACCTGAAAAAAATCATCAAAATTGCACAAAGAACAATAATAATCTATTTGCCTTCTTAGTATTATTACTATGAAAAGAAATGAAATGTGAAAGATCTATTACAGCTAAATAAGCAAAGTACCCCACACTGGACATAATGAGCATGTCACCATACCTTATCCTTGAAACAATTTATATCTTTGAGCTTCAGTGCAGAACTTCACTTTCCTTTGTGATAACACACATAATTGTACTTCTATATATATATATTTCCTTCAAACATCTCCACTAAATAGTCCTTCACATCTAACGACCTTAAATGACCTTAGCTGTTGATAGGATGTTTAACCCTATACAACTAACCAAAAAACTCATCAACTATCTATGATCTATAAAATGTATGTCTAACAAGACTTGTCAAATTAACCTCAGTTTGGAGTGAAAACAAAAACACTATGACCCTTGACATCAGATTGAGACCTTGACCTTGAAGAACACACCATTTGAAAAGTATGACCTTTGACCTCAGATTGTGGCCTTGAACTCGAAGTACACACCATTTAAAACAGTATGTACAGCATGATGGTTTCATATTCACAAGCAAACTTTAACTGAAGAGATTGAATCTATTGACATCAATTAACAGTTTTGATCTTAAGATGGTTGTCTGTAAGATATGTACTGGCACATTACAATGGTGTTAGTAGTGGTACATATGTTTAAAAATAGCATCAAAATACCTTCTGTAATATAATCACTGTGCACTGGGGGAGGGAAAAGGGGAGCAAGGGCCAAGAAATACCTTCTGTAATATAATCACTGTGCACTGGGGGAGGGAAAAGGGGAGCAAGGGCCAAGAAATACCTTCTGTAATATAATCACTGTGCACTGGGGGAGGGAAAAGGGGAGCAAGGGCCAAGAAATACCTTCTGTAATAAAATCACTGTGCACTGGGGGAGGGAAAAGGGGAGCAAGGGCCAAGAAATACCTTCTGTAATATAATCACTGTGCACTGGGGGAGGGAAAAGGGGAGCAAGGGCCAAGAAATACCTTCTGTAATAAAATCACTGTGCACTGGGGGAGGGAAAAGGGGAGCAAGGGCCAAGAAATACCTTCTGTAATATAATCACTGTGCACTGGGGGAGGGAAAAGGGGAGCAAGGGCCAAGAAATACCTTCTGTAATAAAATCACTGTGCACTGGGGGAGGGAAAAGGGGAGCAAGGGCCAAGAAATACCTTCTGTAATATAATCACTGTGCACTGGGGGAGGGAAAAGGGGAGCAAGGGCCAAGAAATACCTTCTGTAATAAAATCACTGTGCACTGGGGGAGGGAAAAGGGGAGCAAGGGCCAAGAAATACCTTCTGTAATAAAATCACTGTGCACTGGGGGAGGGAAAAGGGGAGCAAGGGCCAAGAAATACCTTCTGTAATAAAATCACTGTGCACTGGGGGAGGGAAAAGGGAAGCAAGGGCCAAGAAATACCATCTGTAATAAAATCACTGTGCACTTGGGGAGGGAAAAGGGGAGCAAGGGCCAAGAAATACCTTCTGTAATAAAATCACTATGCACTGGGGGAGGGAATAGGGAAGCTAGGGCCAAGAAATACCTTCTGGAATATAATCACTATGCACTGTAGTAAAATCACTGTGCACTTGGCGAGGGAAAAGGGGAGCAAGAGCCAAGAAATACCTTCTGTAGTAAAATCGCTGTGCACTGGGGGAGGGAATAGGGAAGCTAGGGCCAAGAAATACCTTCTGTAGTAAAATCGCTGTGCACTGGGGGAGGGAGAAGGGGAGCAAGGGCCAAGAAATGCCATCTGTAATAAAATCACTGTGCGCTTGGGGAGGGAAAAGGGAAGCAGGGGCCAAGAAATACCTTCTGAAATATAATCACGGTGCACTGGGGGAGGGAAAAGGGGAGCAAGTCCCAAGAAATACCTTCTGTAATAAACTCACTGTGCACTTGGGGAGGGAAAAGGGGAGAAAGGGCACAGAAATACCTTCTGTAATAAAATCACTGTGGACTTGGGGAGGGAAAAGGGGAGAAAGGGCACAGAAATACCTTCTGTAATAAACTCACTGTGCACTTGGGGAGGGAAAAGGGGAGAAAGGGCACAGAAATACCTTCTGTAATAAAATCACTGTGCACTGGGGGAGGGAATAGGGAAGCAAGGGCCAAGAAATCCCTTCTGTAATATAATCCCTGTGCACTGGGGGAGGGAAAAGAGAAGCAAGGGCCAAGAAATAACTTCTGTAATATAATCACTGTGCGCTGGGGGAGGGAAAAGGGGAGCAGGGGCCAAGAAATACCTTCTGGAATATAATCACTATGCACTGGGGGAGGGAAAACGGAAGCAAGGGCCAAGAAATCCCTTCTGTAATATAATCCCTGTGCACTGGGGGAGGGAAAAGGGGAGAAAGGGCACAGAAATACCTTCTGTAATAAAATCACTGTGCACTGGGGCAGGGAAAAGGGAAGCAAGGGCCAAGAAATACCTTCTGTAATATAATCACTATGCACTGAGGGAGGGAAAAGGGGAGCAAGGGCCAAGAAATACCTTCTGTAATAAAATCACTGTGCACTTGGGGAGGGAAAAGGGAAGCAAGGGCCAAGAAATGCCTTCTGTAATATAATCACTGTGCACTGGGGGAGGGAAAAGGGGAGCAAGGGCCAAGAAATACCAAGAAATAAAGAAAGACTGAACCATCACCAATACAGATATATGATAATATCAGTGACGTACCTATCAACAATATAAACATATGATAGTATCGGTGACGTACCTATCAACTTATAAAGTATACCAGCCCCTGAGCTTCCCATACTGAACTGTCCACTGTTCACCAATATAAACATATGATAGTATCAGTGACGTACCTATCAACTTTTAAAGTATACCAGCCCCTGAGCTTCCCATACTGAACCGTCCACTGTTCAGTATATTCATGGCAACCTGTGTAGAACAAAATAAATAACAAAATTATATTGTTTTGTTGATTGCATGATTAAATGTAATAATGCTATTGGTAAATCAGCACCTTCTGTCTATGGTTCAATTAAGTTAGAAAAATGTAATGGAACTGCTTTTAACTTTACTTTGGTTTTTGTTTCTGTATCTAACAAAGAATCACAAACCATACGAGCACCCTCATACAAAGTCTGCTAGAGACCCATCAGCATACTACTGGTCAACACCACCTAGTTATGAATCACTCTAGCAACAGCATTCTGTGACAATGTCATTGTATCTGTCTAAATCCACATGTAAACAGCAAAACTTATTCAGAAAAAGTCAGAAATTTGCTAGAGTGACAAAAAAATTGTATGAATTGTAATGGTGACCTTGACACCCTGAAACTCCAACTTGTTTGAGGTAACGTATAACGGGTTATTTTTGTTTAAATTTTCACAATTCGACAAAAAAGAAATAAGAAATTAAAATTTACACAGATTTTATCTTTTATTTTCAGTTGCTAATTCAATTAAAACAAGTTTTTAATTTAATTTTAAGGACAGATTGTTAATATTTTCAAGTAAGAAATGGAAAGACTTGGCACAATGTGTTTCTTACCTTGAATCCCTGGCCGACCTCTCCGAGGACATTCTCTACTGGAACAGGTGTGTTATCAAAGTGCACCTCACACGCTACAAGCATAAATACCATAATATAATGGACTTTTCTTGTCTAAGAAGTAGCGGAATTATACATCATAAACTACAGTGCTGTTTGGTACAATATCTCCAACACAGAGGAGACATATCAATGACAGATTATATCATACTTCGGAAAAATTTCACTGTGAACAATGTATATATAAAACTGTGAATCTGTCTGAAGAAGCCCTAGAAGGCAGAAAGGCCTAGCGGACGATCTGAAAAAAATGTTTTTATTCTATAAAACTGTGTATATATAAAACTATTCCCTTAACTTATCTAATTCTATATACAGAATCTTTAAATTAATGGATGATAATTTCACAAGATTGAGTCTAACAACTCTAGAAGACTCCATTTTGAAGGACAAAATGAAAATGAATTCGAGACTGTTTTATGACATTAACAAGAACTAATGCAAATATTAGTGAAAAATACATGTTTTCCTCGCACTGAAAACTATAACCAAAACCGTCTTTGGGTCTAAGACATTTACAGCTACGGTTCTGACACTGATGACATGGTAGTTAGGTGTAAACACGTTTACTACAGGTGTTATGTCAATGTACTCACTGTTGGATCCTAGGATGCCTAGCTACAGTTCTGATACTGATGACATGGTAGTTAGGTGATAAACACGTTTACTACAGGTGTTATGTCAATGTACTCACTGTTGGATCCTAGGATGCCTAGCTATAGTTCTGACACTGATGACATGGTAGTTAGGTGATAAACACGTTTACTACAGGTGTTATGTCAATGTACTCACTGTTGGATCCTCGGATGCCTAGCTATAGTTCTGACACTGATGACATGGTAGTTAGGTGATAAACACGTTTACTACAGGTGTTATGTCAATGTACTCACTGTTGGATCCTAGGATGCCTAGCTATAGTTCTGACACTGATGACATGGTAGTTAGATGATAAACACGTTTACTACAGGTGTTATGTCAATGTACTCACTGTTGGATCCTCGGATGCCTAGCTTGTCTTCCGGCTTGCCGCTGGTTACACCACCGAAACTTCTCTCAACAATAAAGGCTGTTACTTTATCAACTTTCTCCCCCTAAGAAAAACAACACAACCCATATTATAGATTACTGTAATGTCAGACAAACTCAACCACAGGGCCTCAACATAGTGAGAACTGTATCAACTTTCTCCCCCTTAGGAAAACAACACAACCCATATTATAGATTACTGTAATGTCAGACAAGCTCAACCACAGGGCCTCAACATAGTGAGAACTTTATCAACTTTCTGCCCCTTAGGAAAACAACACAACCCATATTATAGATTACTGTGATGTCACACAAGCTCAACCACAGGGCCTCAAGATCATGAGAACTGTTTTACAAACATACAGTAAAACTTGTGTATTCCTCATAAAACCTGCTTCCAACCGACTCGGCTAAGGAGAATTTCTTTTATGCTCATTCAATATATCATCAGACTTGTAAACCGGCGGTCTTGAGTTCATAGCAGAGGCAATGAAAATAATAAACTCTATTACACCTATATTGCAAAGCTCTGCATGTTGTACAATGAAATAGGGATGGTCAGGACATCAGGGTACTATACAGTTGGTGGGTCAGGACATCGAGGTACTATACAGTTGGTGAGTCAGGACATCAAGGTACTATACAGTTGGTGAGTCAGGACATCAAGGTACTATACAGTTGGTGAGTCAGGACATCAAGGTACTGTACAGTTGGTGAGTCAGGACATCAATGTACTGTATAGTTGGTGAGTCAGGACATCAAGGTACTATACAGTTGGTGAGTCAGGACATCAAGGTACTATACAGTTGGTGAGTCAGGACAAAAAGGTACTATACAGTTGGTGAGTCAGGACATCAAAGTACTATACAGTTGGTGAGTCAGGACATCAAGGTAATGACAATACAGTCAACATATACTCACTACCATTAGATACAAAACAGCTAACATTTACTCACATCCATTAGATACAATACAGTTAACATATACTCACATCCGTTAGATATATAGTTAACATATACTCACATCCATTAGATATATAGTTAACATATACTCACATCCATTAGATACAATACAGTTAACATATACTCACATCCATTAGATACAATACAGTTAACATATACTCACATCCATTAGATACAATACAGTCAACATATACTCACATCCATTAGATACAATACAGTCAACATATACTCATCACATCCATTAGTTACAATACAGTTAACATATACTCACATCCATTAGATACAATACAGTCAACATATACTCACATCAATTAGATACAATACAGTCAAAATATACTCACATCCATTAGATACAAAACAGTCAACATTTACTCACATCCATTAGATACAATACAGTTAACATTAACTCACATCAATTAGATACAATACAGTCAACATATACTCACATCCATTAGATACAATACAGTCAACATTTACTCACATCCATTATATACAATACAGTTAACATTTACTCACATCCATTAGATACAATACAGTCAACATTTACTCACATCCTTTTCCACTTCTGTTTTGGCAAACACAGTGAAGATTTCTGCGATGCCTCCGTTGGAGATCCAAATCTTCCCACCATTGAGGTAAAACGTTTTTCCATCCTCAGAAAGAGTGGCCTTAGTTTGAATTGATGCTGCATCACTTCCACTTAAACCAAAATAATTTTGTTACCTTTCAGATTGAGATTTGTTCAAATAAATGACTTTAACCCACATTCAAGGTCAAAGAATCAATTCGGTTAAAATCTTAAAAAAACTTCTCTGAAGATCGATGAGTTTTGTGAGCTTTAAAAGTTATTTTCATACACCATCCTTCAATAACCGAGTGCTGCGGATTGTAACAACAGGACGAGTCATGTAAATATCGGACATCTCTACACGTCAACAGGCTGTGGGCCAAATACCATCTCTGCACATCAATAAGCTGTGGGCCAAATACCATCTCTGTTGACCTAATTGATCTTTAAATATACACTTTATTTATTTTACAACAGTTACAAATTATTTCCACTTATAGTAATCACTTTTGTTGGCCCAGATGTTAGAGCACTGGGGGTCTTAGAGTGGGAGGAAACCAGAGTCCCCAGAGAAAACCCACATGGTCAGGCAGGTGTCCCAATACCCTTTCACGAACAATCAGGGAATTGAACCACGTCCGCCTTTGTGAAAGGCAAGCGCACTATCCACTACACCACCCGACCACCCCTTCATTGATCTTTAGACAGAAGTAGTTTGAAGATTTTAACCAAATAGATTCTATGACCTTGAAAGTGGATCAAGTTATTTATTTGAACAAACTTAAAAGCACTTTCCAACTAGCAACTTTCAATGTTCATTACTACATGTATCGACCTTTTGGTTATTTAGAAGTTGTTTGGTGACTGTAAATCACAGGCACTTTACGTCGGGTGTAATTTAACTAACATTAATTTATAAACTTTTCCTTTTCAACGGGTTCTACAGTTACAACAAATGTTGTAATGTTATTAAATTTAAGGACACAATATGGATTAACACCATTTTTTGCTATCCAAATGATCTTTTGCTTCATTAAGCAGTTACCTGGAGGGTTCAGTGAGACAGAAGGCAGCGACGTGTTCTCCTGTGGCCAGCTTGGGAAGGTATTTCTCCTTCTGTTCGTCATTTCCAGCAATCAGTATACCCTGATAAGAAGCAAGAATATACAGGGTGTTAGGGAGGTAATCACATATTTGCAAGTATTCTAGTATAGAGTAGGAAATCACATATTTGGATGTATTCTAGTATAGAGTAGAAAATCAAATTTTCTATGTATACAGTATACTGGTGTAAGGGAGGTAATCACAAAATTGGGTGTATTCTAATGTAGGGCAGGTAACACAACAAACTGGTGTTAAGGTAAAACTCACATCTTTGGATATTTACATTTTTTTGGATATATATGAATTGATGGAAAAGATATAATCCTTATTTCACTTCCACAACATACTTGTGTGAGAGATACAATCCTATTTTGGATGTAAACAATATATATGGAAATAATCACACTTTTGGTTGTACATTGTATAAAATAAACTGGTTTTAGGGAGATAATCACACTTTTGAAAGTAATATATGTATGTCTTGGTATAAGGGAGATAATCACACTTTTGAAGTAATATATGTATGTCTTGGTATAAGGGAGATAATCACACTTTTGAATGTATACATTATATACTGTTGTTATGTAGATGATCACATTTTTGGATGTACTTGTGTGTATACTAAATTTGATAAGTTCATTTTAAGCAAAACAAAACAATGGACAAGCTGTTTCAATGGTATGGGTGAAAAGTCAAAATATTAGTCAAAGTGACAAACTGTTGCTATGGAAAACTGTGCAATCCCAAGACATACCATCATGCTAAATTTCGGTGAAGTTGTATAGGAGATATGCCAGCGACACTATAATATGCTATAAGTATGGAAGATTGTATAGGAGATATGCCACTGACACTATAATATGCTATAAGTATGGGAGATTGTCTAGGAGATATGCCACTGACACTATAATATGCTATAAGTATGGAAGATTGTATAGGGGATATGCCACTGACACTATAATATGCTATAAGTATGGGAGATTGTATAGGGGATATGCCACTGACACTATAATATGCTATAAGTATGG